TGGTGGAGCGGGGTCTGGGCTGCCTCCCCTGCACCCTCGTTGGGGCTAGGGGTTAGGAGAGGGGTGAGGGTTGTGGAGAGAGGAGGGGACAGCGAAGGACGGCTTCCCCTCCCTCCTGGATCTGTCTACAAGTCTTGTACTTACGTGCGTTGGCCCGTTTCTCACTGCTTTCTCTGGATCATTACAACTTCATCTAGTGCTTTCTGAAGCCTTGGTCTTATTTTTTAATTGTTAATATGTATTTATTGTTTGGGGCTTTTTTTTTTTATTTTTTTTTTAATTTGCAGCCATTAGGGCTACTAAAAAACCCTTGTGAGGCTTAGGCCATGGCACTGGTACTGTCCACATGGAGTAGAGAGCGGGCAGAGGTTTTTAGTATTCCAATTTGGTAACACTTGCAAAATTTAGAGGGATAAACTGAAGGGGGATACCCTTGTCACAAAATAAAATTTTTCTTTTTTTTTTCCTTTTTGGTATGGAGTGAGGTGTTCAGAACAAACTTCTGCTGTTCCTTTTCATGTTTTAAGCCAACTGGTCAATAAATACATGTGAATAAATTTGTGCTAAATGAGCATATTTTGGTTTATGCAGTGGTGAAAGTTAATATTTTCTTTGTGTAGTTTTGAAAGCAGATAAGGCACTGTGGAAAGTAGAATGTCTGAAGATATTGAAAGAATTGAAAAAGAAATAGAAGTTGAATTAAGCAGAATCAGTGTTTCTTCCTTTGAAGCAGATGATCCTGACACAGAGGTATCAGATGAAGCTTTGAGTGACAGTGAGACAGTAAGTATTCAGTGGGCTGAAACTGCTTCTATTTCTGCTTGAAAGTAGTAGAGGCATTGGAAGGCCATCATCAGATGGTGAATTAACTTTTTTCTGAAATACTTAACCTGAGGATTTCTTCTGAAAAGTAGTCTAGGTAGTATTGCTTCATGAAAAATGTAATCTCCAATGGTGATGGATTATATCCATCTCAATGCTGAGATGAATATCAGCATTCTGCTTCAGTGAGAAAATCAGATTCATATATAATGATTTGGTTTAGAATCCTCTGAAGCAGGAAGATTTTATTAAAGCTAATCAGATAGGTTAAATCTGGATGAAGAAGCCAATGATTCTTCATTTAAATCTGTATTTAAATCTTACAGGAGACTGTCTTATGTTTGAAGACTTGCTGATATTAATTTCATATAAATTAGTGCTTCAAGTCCTCTTTTTTGGATGACTTCTCATTTTGGGGAAAGATCTTCCTCTGCAATCCAATCAGTTATTTGGGTCCTTTTCAGTTATTTTAATGTTTCAGACTCGTAGCAGAAGGATTGGTCTATAGGATATTAGGGCAGATTATATTGGTCATATGTGACCATAAATCATATGTTTTATGACATAAAGATAGGCAAAGGCATCAGTGATAATTATTTAGGCACTCACATGCTGAATGCCAGCAGTATTTACTGCAATTTACACATCTGAGAGAAAGCAATCCATTTTCCCATTTTTTCCAGTAAAGACAGTCTTTTGAATAGAAAATATCTATGTAGTAAAGAAAGTTAAAGCATCTGATTTACTTGCATACTTTAAACATTAGTAAATTTAAAAGTAATTTATTTTTTTAAAGAGTTTCAACATTTTTTAGAAAAAGATCCTGTGCATCACAGGTATTTGTAATTTTGGCCTTAACCTTTTCCTTAATTTCTTGATCCAACACAATTATAAATAAATTGTTAGTCAAAACACGTTTCTGAAGATAGTGGAAGTTACTAAAATGTGTTTCAATCATAATTTAATTAGAATGTAATTAAAAATGAGAATTATTAATTGTTCAGTGGGTGATAAGACAATGGGATGGGTGTAGGAATTGGGACCAATTTCAGTAGAAATTGCTACTAAATCTCCATCAGTGCTTTATCAGTGAAGCCAAAATGAGTCTTTATTCTTGCATGGCAAGTATTTACCTCTGGTCGTGGCTGTGAGATAAAAATGTAGAATTTATGTCAAATGCTGTGTTTTTCTAGATTTCAGATGATTTACCAGAATCAGTTCTCTCCTATTTAAACTTTATAAAGAGCAGAAATCAAGAAGCTGAAAAGCTTATACTGCAAGACTTAGAAGATAAAGAAACTACAAGTAAGCAGGGAACACAGTTAAAATATTTACGCACCTCCTGTTGCCAGTGGAAGTTAATCTAATAATCATCAGTAGAACAAGGGAAACTTTTAAGTACAGCAAGCAGCGAAACCTATTGCATCACCTTCTGAGTGCATGCTGAAAATCCCTAGGAATAAAACTACACAATGCTGTCTTCTAGGATTAACATCTGAGTATGAATTGAATTTTTCTTAAAATTCATCTGATGCTAAACCATAGATCAAGGCAAGTTGCAGGATCATTCTCAGACAGGACCTGGGACAGACTCTTAATGAGAATCTAAATTGAAGTCACTAGGAGCTGAAGTTATGAGTTCAGATAAAATTGAACCCCATAGGATATGTTTAAAGTCTGTCTTTAGAGATGTCCAAGCTAGCGTTAAATGAAATGACCTCGTAATTGAGAACAATATTGCTGTGTCAGCTGTGTGACTGAAGCCAAGGTCATAGTTTATATGGCAGTGAGCTGGCATTGTCCTGTTCTAGTTTTTCCCATCATCTTGAGTTTAACATTCATTTAGTTCAACAATCTTTGTAAACAAAAGTTCAGTATTGTCTATACATTTTTATATTTGGGGAAGGTTTCTTTTTATTCTTTTTTTGTAATGGACACTTACTCTTTCTCATTTTTGTAGTTCTTTGTCAGTTTTTGACTTATCTGATACAGGTTCTACTGCATTTTTGTACACAGAAAACATTCTGCTCTGTTCTTTGCTGTGGAATTCTCTTTCACATTGGCTGTCACTGGATTCTTACCATATCATTGTGTGTGTTTCAGTTCAGTGTAGATAAATGACTACCATATATATTTGAGTAAAATTAGGGGGAGGGGGAGGTGGTGGTGTTAAGTTTTGAAGGAAAAGAAACACTTTATTTTAGTTTAAAGAAATATAGTAGCTAAGCAGCATAGAGCAGAACTGGGTACTGGTAAAGGATTTTCTCTCTGTGTACTAGATTATATATTTATTTCTTCTTTAGGTAACATCTATGGAGCAGTTTCTTGCCGTGCTTCAGATTGCATGGCGGAATTGGCTTCTGAATATAATGAAGATCCAGAACAATTTAAAAAAAGGGTATTCTCTATGTAAACAATATTTATAGTGAACAAAATTCTATTAAGTAATATAGATAACTTACAGTCGCTTTGCTCCTCCTCTTAAGGAGACCTGTAGATGTGTTCAGTTTTGTTTCTACCAGACTGTCCATAAATTATTAAGAGGAGTTTGTACATGCCATTCTTTAGAACTGGGACATCAGCTGTAAGGCACCATGTCTGTAGGTTTTAAAATTTGCAGTAAATTCTCGGTTACCGGTAGTTGAGATCCTGAGTACAAAAATCAACAAAATTAAACAAAACTGAATAATCCTTTATTGTTAATTATTTGCTGAATATTAACTCAATAGTATAACATTTTTAAGCTTCTCTAATATTATTTTTATGATGATCAAGAGGATGTGCTGCTATTAATCTTGCTCCTAATATACTCCATTATTTTATAGAAAATGTAAACATAATAATGTCTGTGACTTTCAAAGACAAATCAAGAATTATGAACCTGGCTTCTTTTGTATTTTCATAGGATTTGACTGAATAACTTGCTGAAATTCTTAGAAAAACATAAACCTGTGTTTAATTTAATCACTTTTAATTTGTCGCCTGGCTTTTATTAGTGAGCACTTTTGCATACATGATTTTTTTTGTCCTCAGAAGAACATTGTTTAGAACAGCACAATTACTTTATGTGACTTAAGCTACATTACAAATATTAATATTTGTCCCAAGCATGTGATGAACAGATAAATGAGCAGGAATAGATTACTTCTTGCCAATAAAGAACAATGAAAGAAATGTAGCAATCATTGTGCCCATAGCATTATTTTCAAATAGAATTCTTAAAAATTTGCTCTGTAACTAGTTCTTCCCATATGTACATAGCAGTATTAATGCATAAATATAGTGCTTAGTTCCACATGAACTTTAGCAAATCCCAGATGCAAAACATTAATTATTCCAGGTCAAAATGTAAAATATTAAAAAGCCACGTTGAACTATTATGTATTTTGAGTAATACTCCAATATTTATTACTCTAGAAAACAATATTTTGACTGATACATTTGCATTATTCAATGTCTAAGGATTCCCATCAGTAGTAAATTTTGTATTATTGTACTTGTCATATGATGAAAAGCTTTTCCTTGTTCTGAAAGATCTTTATAATGTTCTGCTTTTAAATTGTTTTTCTTGTTTCTTACTGACAATGTTAAACTATATTAGGTACTATTTGAAATTGAAAATGAAGACTTGCAGATTGCTACAACACCTAGTTGTAACAGTCAGTTCACCAGTGATGAAGTGGTCACTGACCATTTTGTTACAGGTAAGCAGATGCATTAGTCGTCTGCTTGAGTTCATCTTTAGTGTCATATCACTATTGCCTGCTTTTCTGTTTTCATGAATATCATAACATTCTTTGTAAAGAATTACACGTTGCAGTATGCAATAGATTTTGATATTCATGAATTGCACGTGAGTAAATGCCTGTGCTTTTGTCTTATATCAGGATCACAAAATTATCCTAGTCTTTAATGTTTTGATCAAAATTTGTTTCAAAGAATACTACCCAAAAAAATTTACATAATATGAATACAAATGGAAGTTAGAATGGAGGCACTAAGCACGTTGTGCTTTGGCCACAACTTCTTGTAGTTTTTTATGGTCACATCAGCTGGGAATGTGTCCCTTAGCTGTGGCTTTTGCATGCTTTGGGTTGGAAGAGCAGTTCTAAAACCCCTGGTGATAGCCACAGAAGACATTCATCCTGAAGCCAAAGTGTAATCCTGAAATATGCATTGGTAGAATAAGCATGGTTGTAGCAGAGTCAGTAAGTGTGCATCATGATAATAAGACATCTCTGATAGAAAAGACTCGCATTGTAGTTCTGATTTCCTTGGGGATATATATATTGGTGGCTGTATCAGCACACAATCCTTTTCTTGTCAATACTCTGTTTAATGTCCTCCAGTGCTTATTAGGAAATTAAATAAAAGGTTTGCTTGGTTACAAATTCATAGCTGATGTTGAAATGAGCATAAGCCTTACTCATCGTGAAGTAGAAGAGAAGTGTAGACAAGAATTTGAGCAGTGGGAGAAAAGACAAAAGGAGCTTGAAGATGAGAAGAGGAAAAACTGGAAAGCTGAGAGGGAAGCACAGGAGAAACAGAATGAAGAGGAACATGCAAGAAGGGTGCAGCGTCTGGAGGAATTTGAGGCTGAAAGAATAAAGTTAGAGCTTCTTCATAAGGTAATTAATGAAGTTTAAGCCAGTCTGTTCCCATCTAGACTATCTGAATTCAAGATCTAATGTGATTTGTTTATTTGCAAATAGTGAAAAAACAGGCTTGAACTTTCATTTTTCATTGACAAGCAATTTCAGTGAAAATTTCTTTACTGAACAAAATTCCTGTTTGAAAGATTTTAAGATTATCAGTAATATACCAGTGCAATTAAAGGAGGACTGTTCATGCTACTTTCAGAGTGTTTGTTTCTGTTATGTTATGAGGAAGGTGGCAGTTGTTTGTGTCAGTACCAATATGCTGACTCTCTGAAGGTATCTATCTTTCAGTACATGACCAGATCTGCATTACCAATGCAAGTGTCCAGCTGTTTATTTTGATCTTCAAATATCTGAGTTTCTCCTTGTAGTTCAGGCATGCACAAAAGTGGACTATTTGCAAGTCAAGAGGTTGGAGAGAGGGTATTATATGATATTACAGGTTTTATACAATATTCATTTAAGTTAATTTGTTGTGCAGGAACACCAAACTGAAATAGAGGATGAGTTACAGAAAGAAAAGAAAGCTTGGAGAGAGAAAATTATGCAGCATGAGGTAAGGTTGTGCAAAAGACTGTGAGGTTACTATCATATATTTGAGAATAAATGTTATTCTGGAACAGTTAATACACCAGTTTCTGTTTATTAATGACAAATATGTGCCAACACCTGTCCTATTTGAAAAGTGGTTGAATTCTGTCCTAATTGTTTTGGCCTAGGAATTGATCATGAAGCTACAGTTGCACATAGAAGAGGAGAAAAAGGCCTTGGAAGAACAGAAAGCCAAAGAAAGCCAACAGCTGGCAGAACAACAAAATACAGCAGCTGTGAAAATCCAAGCTAGATTTAGATCATTTTTAGTCCGTAAAAAATATGCTCCCATCTTAAAAGAATGGAAAGATGAAATAAAAAAGAAGCAGAATCTATTAGAAGGCATAGAGAGAGAAATGAAAGAAAAAGAGGAAAAAATGAAGAGGCGAATAGAAGAAAATAGGCAAAAGAAAGTAGAGGAAAAAAAGAGACGAGAAGAACTTCAAAGACAGGAATATTTGGAACAGGCAAGGAGGCATGAGGAATATGAGAAAAAGAAAGAAACCCTGAGACTTGAAAAACAGCCACAAATAAGAAGAGAAGAATGGAGAAAACTAGGAGAAAAAAGAGCAAAAACTGTGAGTAAAAGTGGAGAAAACAATAATGAAAACATAATAAAGGATAAGCAGATAGAAAATAGAGAAGTAATAATAGTACAGAAGAATGAACTAAATAAACAAGTAGACAAACAAAAAGAAAAACAGACTGAAATATTGGAGGAAACAAATGATTGGATAATTCCAGCAGAAAGAAATTTGACACCAACCCCAAATATACTAGTCTCTGAGAAGAAGGAACACTTTTCTCAAGTAAATAATGAGAACATATGCCTTAATTTGTTAACACATGTAGAAGAAAAGTACTCACAAACTACATATCTTAATAAAGCTCCAAATAGTCATGCTTCAAAGGATGACTCTGATGATTTTGAAGATAATGACATGGTAGAAAATAAGGCAAACAATATATGCAGCAGTCCACCAAATGTCCAGCCAAATGCTAGTGATAGAGAAGTCAAAGATCAATTTTCTCAGTCTGAAACAATGAAGAAAACTGTGTTTCTAACAGAAGATGCTAATGAGGAAGTCAGAGAGACCTGGGACAGAATTCAAGATGTAGCTGAGTGCTCCAGTAAACTAATTCTTCCAGATGATATTGAAAAGAAGAGAATAAACTGGATGAACACATGTAGATCTTGGTCTAAAATATATGAAGAAAACCAAAGAAAGCAAGCAACTATAAAAAAACGACCAAGGAAAGGTTTGGTTAGAAAGATGCCTCCATTAAGTACACAAAAGATACTTCATAGTGGCCCTTGGAGTACTCTGCAGCAGGTAACTATATGGAGGATTTAGGATGAAATAGGAAGCCATAACAACATTTTTTTTTCTTTTTATTTTCTTTTTTAATTTGATATGTCAGAAGCATGCTGTTTTGGAAGAGGAGGAGATTATCATTGATCAGGATGTAGATCTCAGTCAGAGTTCCTCTGCACTAGTGCAGAATAAGGGCAATGAGAATGACTTTTGAATTCCTGTGAGCATTGTAGAGCAGACTGGTGTGGTATTAGTCTTCAGATGACTTGAGCCTGTAAAAGGCAAGAGCTCCTAGCTTCTATTTTCTGCTAAATTAACGTGGTTTTGCCTTTATATGATGGTCTACATTTCAGCTTCTGCTCATCTAGCCCCTTCAGAGTTTTGAGAAGGCTAGTCTCTTCCAAAAGCAAGACATTGCTGGTCAGCTTATAGGTGGTGTTTTGCCATAAAGAATATCTCTTGGTTCCCAGAACTTCCTTTTCTTGCCACTTACTAACTTATTACTGTATGCTTGCTTTGTGCTCTCATCTTGGTATCCAACTCTGAGATGACATGCTAGACTACATACACTTTTAGTCTGAACTGTTTTTCTGTTCTTGTGCACTATTTATGATAGTGTGATGTGAAACAATTCACACTATTAATTGTTTTGCTTAGTGTTAATCTTCCATCCATTCAAATTCAATGTCATTAGCAAAGCATTCGTTATATTTATTTTAAGGTGGATGTTAAAATCAAACAGATTGTTTTCATAATAACTTCTCCCATCAAACCTGTCATTGCCATCTGTTTTTATATGAAAGGATTAACATTCATTGCTTGCATTTTCTAAAGTGTTAACAGAATGTAGTTTTTGTCTTTTTCTTTTTAAAGAAATAAAATAGCCATAATGTGGTATTGTACAATGAATGTTCAATATACAATTAATTTTATTTCTCAATAACTGCATGTAGGTCACAACACTTACACTTGAAGATTTGCCGGCTTGTAGCCTCTCAACATTATCTGAGTGTTCAAATCTTCAAGTTTTGACTCTGAGGCGCTGTGGATTAGTTGCACTGGAGGGACTAAGTAGCTGCAAAGGCCTAAAGTATATCAATGTGGAGGTACCAAGCATATTTGATTCTTTATTATAAACTGGGGAGAACTGCCAGTTTTGCTGCTTAGGTGGTTATGCAGTTGTGTCCAAATGGATATATTACTTCTAGTGCCTTAAGAGCATAGGAACATCAACAAAATACTCCCAAATATGAACAAAGTTATACCAGCAGATTTGTATTGCATGTAAGAATTTGCATTGTACTAAAGCAACATCATTGAAATGAATTATGCTATAATAAGAAAAGTGCATGAGAGTATCGGTCTAGGATTAGTGTTAGTATGGTGCAGTGACAGATCTTCATTACCTTGGTCTCTCAGGGGGGGGGGGGGGCAAATGCTGTTCACCATAGCAGGTGCTCAGCTTAAACAAGAGTAGGTAAAAGGAAGTGTCCTTTGCAATACACACCTCGAATATTGGTTAAAATTACTCTCATATATGCTCAAGGAACAGTATAGTGAGTTACATTAGAGGTATAATGTCTAGGTACTTGCTACTGCACAGTGTCTTGCATGACCTTGTAAATTTAATGACTAAAGAAAATGTTTTGCTCTGTGATGCATCTTAGTTCCAGAACTTGACAATTTAAATGCAACACTCTGTTCACATTTCATGTGTTTTAACCATACCAATTCACCAGAAAGTTGTGAATTATTTGTAGAAATCTTGAATGTTTCTGCTTGCCTGGTAACTGGTGTTCTTTCCAATGTATGGGCTTTTGTTAGTTTTGGTTTTTTTAAATTAAATTAGGAGAAGAGAGCTGATGATAATTACGGTTAAAGGAGTGCTGTTTGTCCAGTAATTAGAGCTTTGAAATAGGGCAGGTTGAAATACCTGTGTAATTTTCTTATCTATTCGGAATGTAGTTTCTGCGATTTGATAATTTTGAGTACCTCAAAATACAGGAGCAAATTATTAGTATAAGAGCATAATATCTAGCTGCCAGTCTTAGTAAGATTGGTACTTATATGTGAATATTTTTAGATCAAATATTATCTCTTACAGTACAGTTTTGCTTTTGTGTTTGTTTGTTGTTTTTTTTTTTAATTTAAGATGTTATACTTTAAATAATATACTGTATTGCCTCGCTGGGATAAGTCAGGATAATTTAGTTAAAGAGAAAACTTAGATATACTTTTAAGTATGCTTTATTAATAATTATAGGTGTTGTTGATTATAATACTTTTACTTTCGTTGTGCCAGCTAATGTGGCAGTTGTCTTCCATTCAGCCTTGATGAAGAAAGAGCCTCTTTTGTGACAGTTGACAGTCCAAGATTGTTTCATGGGTATTTCTCATATAGCTAAAGCAGCTGCCTCTGTTTCCCTTGGATATTAATTCCTACTTGATATTGCCCCTCATTTCTCTTGATACAAAAGCTAACATTTAAGCTGTATCAGTTCTCTGCTTTAACTTACTGGTTTAACTGAAGGGGCTGTCCAAGGGCAGAAATCAGTGTTATGGCTTCCAAAGGAAACCTGTACACATCTCTGCGTGCAGCTGAAAGTAGCACCTAAATCTAGTCAGCATGTTAATTGTGGAATAGGAATTAGACTCTTTGGCTTAATCAGTTTGTTACAAAGGCAGGGAATTTAAGTTTAGTTTGTTTGAACATCTGTAGGTGAAAACCAGAAGAAAACAGCAAGGGCAGCAAATAGTGAAATAAAAATTCGAGCAAGTGTTATTAAAATGGCTTGGGAAGGGAGATGTTAAAAGAACAAGGTCTCTTGGGGGAAGAACATTAGCTGAAAACAATGTTTATGTTTCTGACCAAAATACTTCTAAATGCAGATTTTCATTATTAATAAATAAGATTCCAGCCAAGTCATAACTGTCTTCAATAGTATCTAATAAATATGATGGTTTCTATGCAGGTTTTTTTTCAGTCTCCTAGGATCTGGGAAGCTAGGAAATTGTATATGGAAAAGACCACTCTGTCCTTACGTTCTCCTTAAACTTTTTGTTTCAACTTCTGGGCATTTTCAGAGACAGAATGAAGTTTAAGATACATTTTTGTTTTATCCCAGCAGGACACAAAAGACTGTTTCTGTGACTCATCAGTTTACTTTCCTAATGGAAAAAATAGAGATGCCTTTATTCCTAGCTAGAAGTTTAGGATAAAAATAAGCAATGATGACAATCTACCATATTTTTATGGTATATATCTACTTCTGCTATTTCACTTCAGATGCTATTTAATATTCTCTTTTTCCTTTATTGCAGGAAAACAACATTCACATAATTGACTGTGAAAATCTAGAAAATCTCTGTGTTCTGATTCTGAGCAAGAATCATCTTTCGTCAGTTTGTGGCTTAGATGGCTGCATAAATCTCCAAAATCTTGAACTTTCCTACAATAGAATCACTCGAATTGGTAAGAAAATGAATGAAAAATTATTCCAATTTGTTTAGCAATATTTGTGCTGTTTATATTCAGATTTATACTTTCCTTGGATTCAGGGCCAGCCAGCTGCTAAGCCCAAGGAGAATGAGGAAACAGACTTAGAACAGACCTACATTTTAAAGCATACTCAACTTCACATTTATTTGTAGTAAGGCTTAACTACCACCATGTATTCCATCTACCAGGTCATATAACTATTGCCAGTAAAAGAGAATTGAAAATCTTTCTAGAAGGGCCCTTAATATTACCTGCTTTAACTCAATTGGAATATGTGAGTAGCCTGAGTTCAGTTTATCTACAGAAACAATTAATATAAAGCCTAGCTTTGCAACTGCAGAGAATTCCCATGTGTTCCTGACTGGCAAAGTAAGTAGTTACATAGAAATCATATTATCTGTCTGAGTCTGTGAACCATGCTAACACTGGACCGTGGCCTCTCTTTATTCGAAAATGCTGCTCATTCTGGCTTCAAACTATTTTTCTACATTTTCCTCCCCCTCTGGCTCTTCATTGCTGCTCATTGCCCCAAAGCGGGGAAAAAAAGAATTGGCCTAAGTTAAAATTGTGCAAATCATTAGGCACAACAGGTGTGCCAACCATATTATGTTTACAAAGGCAGTTTGTTATATTTGTTAGGTCCAACAACTGGCAGGCAACAGGTGTACCTTTAGCATACAGTCAACCAGTTAGGATATACATGCACCCAGACCACTCAATAGATGCATCAGTACGTGGAATCTTTCTCCCAGGAGATACATGTTTTCTGTTGCCCAGCCAGGAACCAAGTGTTTGCCTCAGGCTGTACTGCCACTCAGACTGTAAAATGCCTAAGGGGTAGATATTGTGTATCGGCTCCTGGCAAGCCAAAAATATTGCATTGTGTTATGTAGATTTGGTATATATGTAATCAGGATCCAGAGCCTTTTCTACTGACAAAAGGTCAGGAAATTATAGTGCAGTGAAAATAACAAAGAGCTTTGCTGTTTGTAAGTGTGGAAGCCAGTTTTTTGTTTTTAGAATGAGGTACAGAGGGAAGACCATTAGTGGGCCCTCAAAAGCAACATTAACAGTTGAGAAAAGGTAGTAGTAAATTGTCCAATCGTTAACTGAAAGGGAGCTCTCAAGGCTTGAAAGTAGCAAATTCCCTTCAAGAAGGCAGCACAGCAGACAGAACAGAACTAAATTTAACAGCCTCCCTGTACTCTGGGAACTTGGATTTTGGTGTGTCACATACTGTGAATTTTGTAAAGGCCACCAAAATATGTGTGACTGTATAACTTCAGTATTATAGTCTTAACAGAGATGAATCTTCAGAGATTTGTCCATTGAAATAAAATCTTATGGTCAAGAAAAAAAAAAATTGCATATGATGAAGTAGTTAATTTTGTACAAGTTGAAACATGAAACCTGAAAATGTGGCTTTCTACTTGCATTCTTAGTCTGTGCTAAATCTAAAGATGTTACTTTGAAAGACTGCAGAGCTAGGAATGGAAAAGAGATAAGGAGATTTTGATTTTGATTTGATTTGTCTTGATTTAGACTTTTAAGTTTCTTTAAAGTATATGGACATACTTTTATTTTCCTGCTGGACAACAGGAAAATAATATAAAACAATTATTAAGCTGATAGATGAAATACATTCACATAAGACATTTATGTAAAGGAATAGTTAGGATTCTGAAACAGTGTGAACATGGATAATGCAATTCCATGATAAGTAACAAGGGCACAGGAAATGGGAAAGTGTAAAAATAAATGTGTGGATTTATAGGGTTTAGTGTTGATATTTTAAATATTTTTTGCTAATATGTGTGAATTTAGAATGTTAATACTTGTGAGCAGACTTTATAATACCTGAGAATAAAGGTGCTGCAGTATCAATGTTTACTGGAAAAGCATATCAGTACCTTAATGAGAAATAATAAAATAAACTGGTTAAAGAAGCTTTGTCTATGTCCTTGTAGCCAGTAATGCTGGATAAGATTCTTATTCAGATTTATGTCATTCAATAAAAATGTCTGCAAGATCACTGTAAGAATGACATAATATTAGTCAATGACATTTAGGAATGCGGCATCTGTCTGTAATGTAGTATCTTTGTACAGACCAAGTGGAGTAAAATCCTCTTGTACTTTCTGTTTTGTGCAGTGTGCTTCTATGTTTACTGAGTCTCTAATGAATTTGAGTGGATAAATAAATGTTCACAAAAATCTCAGATTGGAATCTGTCTTTCTCCTCTCCAGAGTTGCTTTGAGGATATCTGTTTAAAACAGATGCATAATACAGGATTTATTTCATACAATAACATATTGGTTCTAAGTAGTCACACACAAAAATGGATTTAAGAGTTTTGAGAAGTTAATTTATCCCTCCCATCTGTAAATCTTTCAGGATGTCCCTTAGCAATTTTGGAAGCTGCAGTACTGTGCAATGTTCTCTGTTCATTCAGCTTTAACATAGGCTCTGAGCTTTTTACCAGAAAGTAAGGTTTCTTTGTGTTTGTAATGCTTCTGTTTTAATAACTTATTGTAGGAAACGTCAAACTTACTATGATTTCTTTTTGCCTTTTTTCTCCTCTCATTGAAATATAGCATCAGTAGCGGAAAAATTAGAGTTGACAGAAAACCCTTAAAAATAACAGTAAAAGTATGAAAAATATATCTCAGTTATGCTTTTCCACTTAAGAATGTGTGATCACAAATTAAGTAATTGCATAAGTAATATCCTGAAGTTCAGCGTGTATGTTTGTATTTGGAAGATGAATGCTTTACTTAAAAACTTTGTTACACAAAAGGTAGTGTTTTGACTTAAGTCATAGAATACACTTTTCTAGGATGTCTATATTGCCGTAGTGTGTTGGCTAAAATCCTGGCAGTGCTAAGAATAACAATGCATAACCACCTATCATTCATCTTTGTCGCACATAGAACTTACTTCAGAACTGCATTGATAGCTAAGATACAGTCCCTAGCTAACAGACTCCAGCTTCATTTTGCAAAGTGCTAAGAGCTACTCATACAAAGGTCCTCCACAAATCTTGCTGAAACCATATGTCTTTCAACAGAATGCATTTTCCCATATTCTGCTGTAGCTATTGTTGGTTGCATCATATGTAAAACAGACAATAACATCTGGAAATGCACAGAAGACATTCATGCTTATCTTTAATTTTACACGTGTGCGGAAGAAACATTAAAATACCATCTGTTTGTTTTACATTATTCTCTCTTGTGTATGTTTCTGTTGGACTGCATTTGATAGTTCCAGGATAGTTTATGATCCCATTGTATGTAGCCTTGGCATGTCTGTTCCAAATGACATTTGATCTAATAAGACAGATGAGGAGAAGGAGATGTAAAAAAGGTGCTTTGTGCAGCATGCAGAATAGGAAATTTCCAGATTTTGTGTAAATTCTTTGCCTTTTCTTATTGCTTGTGCAATGTCTCCTCTGTGTCCTGCTCCAGACTAATTTTAAAGTGTTCGGTACTGCTATGCTGATAACTTAAAAGTGGAGATTGCAGGACCAGTCTTGTGAGGAAATTTTGGGAGCTGTTAATTGCAGACACTGTTAAAATTAAATTGTTTTAAGACCACTAGATGGTGCTGGTTCCTTTTTTATTGTTATCTGACCATAGAAGAAAACACAGACTAGGATCCTGGAGGCTGGATAAAATGTCGTGGGCATATTTGAAATTCTTTCAGAATAGTTAAAGGTTTGTATATTTATTTCCTAAAGCACAGTTTTGAAGTTACAGTATGGAACATTTGTTTTAGATTTAGGATGATATCTCTTTAATGTCAGGCAATTGTGTTACTTCCACTAGGTGCTTTCCATTTTTAAATTGCTGTGATTTGAAGGCCTATATTTGACAGGGTTTTTTAGATGTTCTGCTAGTTTTAGCATTTAGTTTTTTACTTCTGTTTTCTCCTTATCATTCATTTTCTTTTTCAATTCCTCTTCTCTATTCTCAGTAATCTATGGTTCATAATCCAGTTGATTCGCAGAGGACAATCACAAAGACATTCACCTCTGTAGAGCTCGCCCAAGTTCCTTTTGGGAACTTGGGAAGTTTTGGGTGAGATAAAGATGAGACAAAGGATTATCTCAAATAATCCTGAGTGCCATTGCAGAACATCTGGCATGTGCACACACTTGCTCTTTACATTAGCTGTCAGGAGTAAGTTTGTTGAGAGTGTAAAGGCTATAGAAGTATAACTTTATACTTAAAGGCACTACATTTTCTTTATAAATTTCTTCAATAAAAATACTTTATAACATAATTCCTTAAACACGATGCACTTGAACAATAGAGTTAGTGCTGGCCTAAGTTTTAAAACAATTTGTTCTCAACTTGCTGATAACTTTAAAAAGTATTTTAGAAATTAAATGTTGAAAATCAACTTTTAAACATAAATACCATTTCCATTCTGAGGGGTGATTTTTAAGAGGGCTGTTAGAATTTCACAGAGCCCATAGGTTCTGCTTTAAGCACAGTAAGTATAGTTTATTACTAAAAAATGTTCCATTCCAAGAGAAGTGCTAAAGGGTTTATGAATTGTTGTTATTGCTTGGTTAACAGAAGCAGAAATTTGTGAACTGTACACATTGTGTATTTGATTGTGTTAAAATACGGTAATTATTTTTAAACCTTTTACAGGACTAATATTAGTTGCTAATACAGATAATAGAAATATATGCAAAGTCCGGAGTGTTCTTCATACTTGAAAACCAACAGGTTATTATTTCATTATGGCTTAATACAGCAAAAATCTTTAATTTTCAGGTGGTCTGGAGTCATTGAAAAATCTTCAGCAATTAATTGTGGACCATAATCAGCTAATCAGCACAAAAGGTCTTTGTGAGGCATCTACTCTCATTCACCTAGACTGCTCTTTCAATCATCTCACACAAGTTGAAGGCATTGAGAATTGTGGCCTACTTCAAATCCTGAAGTTGCAAGGCAATAACCTCCAGGAGGTAAAAGCTTTGAATTCAGTGGCTGTTGTGCATACATCTTTGTTATCAGTCATATTTTTCAGAATGCTGATCATGTGCTCTCTGCTTGCTATGGGATGTTTCATGCTCTTTTTTTTCCCCTATTAGAGGGAGATTTTTCAAAGACAGAAATGGCTAGTAGTTAAGTACTTTCTTGCTCCTAAGTTCTTGAAAAATTGGCCCCCTCAGTAATTATATTTCCCTCCTTTGTGTATAGCATCTGGTCTTCAGTTTGTGTTATATGATGATGATTCTTTGTTTAAAGTGTAACAAAATTATCATTACGTATAAGTAATAGTTCAGGCTGATTTGATGTATACTGATCCTCCAAATCTTGAAGTTTGTGTTGTAGCATTTAAAAGAGCAAAGTAGTTTGTTAACTGTACACTTAGTCATGTTTACTGACAATTTTTCTCTTATGAATCCGAGAGGAGAGAAGAGAATCAATGTCAATAAGCAGCAAATAACTGCATGAATAAAATAGTAAGACTGTGGCTCTTGGGCTCTTGGTTTCTTGGTTGTTTTTTTTTTGTTGGTTTGTTGGGTTTTTTTCAATTCATATTGACTCTTCAGTGTAGATAGGAAGCATTAAAAAATACCCCGATATGTAGAAGTTGTGTGTGACAACCGGTACATACACAATAAGGAAATAATACATATATCCAAAATGTGGGTTTTGCTTGTATTTAGTAACAATTTATGAAAAGCATCTGGTAAGCATTCCATTGTTGTTTCTTTAATTTATATTAATTTTAAATAACCATCTCTTTTCTATTTAGCTTCCAAGACTGGAAAATCATGTTCTCCTAAGAGAACTATATTTGGATGATAATAGCATTTCTGCTATGAGAATGCTTTCTTTCTATTGGTTGCCTCTATTGCAGATTCTTTTGCTGTCTCAAAATAGGTAAGCAAGAAACATTCTTCCACTTACAAAACTGATACAGAGGAATTTACTAACGTAACACTTAATCTGAAAGGTATAATTATCTGTATGGTTAAAATATCACTATCTCTTCAAAATATTATTTGAAAATATATGGTTGACAAGTAATGACATTGGCTACCTTTAGCTAAGAAAATTTGAAACAGCATTAACTATTAAAAGTAATTTTTTCTAGTAGATGTTATGTGAAAATAATTTTTGAGCATTGTGGCATTATTAAAAGCATGGTGTTTCTTTTTTTCCCTTTCTTCAGCAATTGTTTCTAGAGTATATCTGTCAAACTTCATATTTCACAGCTAGCTTATTCAAAACAGACTTTGAAGGCTATGTTAAGTGCAACTACTGGAGTTAAAAAGGACAAATGAAAATGCTGTTTTTTATTTTGCATGTATGTGTTAATGCCTTCCAACACAGGCATATTTGTTTTAATTTTTCACTCTTATGGTTCAGTTTGAAAGGTATAAAATAAAAAAGAAGGATCAAGACAAGCAGAGTAGAACTAGATCATGCACTCAAGTACTCTGTAACTAGCTTTCTGTTCATTTTCTAACCTAATCTGTACATCTGTAGAGTTAGAATGACCGGATATTCAGGAGTCAAATTTTTATTTTCCCACCTCACCCCCTTTTTCTCAATTTAAATTCTGCTAAAAAAATAAGGAACAGTTACAATCATTTGCAATGTGTTAGTAATAAAATTAATTTTAAATTGGTATAAATTATTTTTCTGTACTGTGACCATTTCTCTCTGAGACTGTTCTCAGTTCAACACGTAGAGTATACTCTGTTACACACAAAATACAGAATATACACTCTGAACTAATCACTTTACTCTCCTGTTGGTGAAGAGGAGGTGCTTTTAGAGTGTGATTCATCTGCCATTTTTAGCCATTTGCTTTGAGACTAATCATACCGAACAAGCTCCTGTTTCTCTTCATTGACTATTAACAGAGTCAGAATGACCAGCTCATATGTAGGTGTCTATCTGCATTTGAACAGATGAATCCCATCCTTTGTGGCATTTAGTTCAGCAAAGTCGGTGGTAGCTGGGAGCCTGTGGGAGAAAAGATCTGTAAGACTGAGGCCTGTTATTATAAGGAATGTCGTTCATCAAAAATTAATATTATTTGAGAATATGCAGCCTATATTTTTATATAACATTTCTGATTGTTTTAATATCATCTCTAATGAGGTAGTATGCATGTAAACTCTTGGATGTAAATATAACACCTAGCTATATTTACAGAATCTAATCTTCAAGTTGCTGGGCTTTTAGGGGGTTTTTGTTATTTTAATGATTCTTCTGGAGTTTAGAGAAAGTCCTCCCTGCCTGTGATTAACAAGAGCATTATTTGTTAAGTGTTATATTCTGAATCACACGTATTGGTTCAATTCATGTTCTTCACTTTTTCTTCCCTTGTCCTTTTCCCTTCTCCTTTTCCCTTGTCCTGTTAGCTTTTTGTGGAACATGTGGTAGTGTGGCTCTATCTTCTTGTAGTGTTCTCCTCTTCCTCTGGTTTGTTTTTTGTTAAAATTAAGATGTAGCTATGCTGTGTAATAAAAGGTTTGCAAAACTACTTGAAGACCTCATCCTGCTAGGGAGAGTACCAATTTAGGAGCACGGTCTCAAGCATGGCTTGAATGAAGCCTCTGGATCTAGGTTGTGCTGGGCTGGCCATGTAGATACACCTTATGTCACTCACCTGTCCCATGATCTTACAGTTTTTGGTGTCCATTGTAGTGCTTATTCTGGTTTTCTAGTGGCCTGAGATGCAGTGTTTGGTGCACTGAGTTTCTTCTGCAGGACTTGGAGAAAGCACCTATTTTTGCATCAGTAAACTGGATGTGGTGAAAATAAACATGCACCTCCTCCCAAACGGTTCCCTTTCTTTCCTTGGTGTATCTATAGTTTATTTCAAATCTTTGTGACAAACAGGACAAGATAGCCTTAAATGACTATTAAAAGCCTCAAAATGCCTGGCATTTCAGTAGCCTGCTCTGTTACACTCACTTTATGTACACTTATAAGCAGCTCCATATGTGTGTGCTATAGCATAAGTAACTCGACGTTCTATAGAAACAGTCAATGTAATGGAGTAAGCTGTTGAAAGAAAAGCTGTTTCTTTACTTTTATCCTACAGCTAGTGCAATTTTGTGAATTTTTTTCAGGGCTGCACTGAGTGCCATTTCCTTTTTACTGATTGCAGGAAGCCCATATAATGGTAATGCTGTGAATCTGTATTCTTTCTAAAAGTGAAGTACTGTGAAAAGGAAATTCTTACACTGATTTACAGGAATTTTTTTATTCCTGAGGTGCTTTGTCTGTGTTGTAAACCAGAAATTGCCAAAGATAAAGGTCCAAAATTTAATTGTTTTAAACCCACAATGCAGCAACAACGAATTATAACAGGTAGTGATTAACTTGTTCTAATATAAAAATGGCAGCTATTTCACCACTACTGCTTTTATTAAGTGTTTTATTATGGCTTTCACATACAAAGCATATACTTGGTCAACGTGCAATTGACCAGAATCAGTGATAAGAGTCATCCTAATAAATCTAAATGACATTGGATGTTGAAATAATTCAGTCATGAAGAAGCTATACTAATGTATAGTGGTTTTCCCCATCTCATCCTTTCCAGTCTAAATCTTTTTTATCACTTTCAATAGTTCTTTGCTGGTGACAAGTTTATCTCTAGGTATGTGGCACCATGGGCAATACAGTTGAAGTATTGCCTGTTGGAGTAGTCAAGAAACAAATGACTGACAGATTTCCTACACTATAATTAATTACTACTTATAAATGTGGTGAATATTGCAAACTAAAATATTTTTATTTTTAAAGAATGAAAAATAACTATAAGCTTTACTTAAAGACACAGGTTAATATAAATTTAATTTTAATTATTTTGCCCTCTTTCCTGCTAACCTCTTGTTAATTTCAGTGATAATTTTTTGGGGGACAAGCAGATGCAGAGCAGGATTTGGCCTATCCTGAGCCATAAAATTTATTCCTGTTCAGAAAAGCAGTCTTTTTTTCTCTGATGCATACTTGCAACCATTCTGGTCTCTTGACTCTTGCTTTCTGACATAGAGTTTCTGTGGCTATTTGTGTCCTGTCCTGCTACAGTCTTAAATGGGAGCAGAACAGAAAGAGGAAGCTATAGCCTTATTTTTTGTGAATATCTTTTACTTTTGTGTCTTCTTTGTAATTTATATCTCTCTTATGCCCAGGGCTAATGTGACAAGGTCAAGTAGTATTAAGTTTTCAGTAATGTCCTTTGTCTTTCTGGTTTGAATTTTCTTAGGAAAAAAATTAACAAAGAATGTCAGTAAAGGGAAGGCTATAGAATGACGGGAAAATGTTTTAACTCTCATAATGCCAATGGCAGGCAAGGATGCTCCAGTAGACAATTTCTAATTCACAACAGCATATACTGATGAAGATCCAGAGTACTCACTCACTATAAATAAAAAACTACTGCATTGTCTTTTGTCCCTTGTGCTAAGTGCAACATTTATTTTCCTGATATTTCAGAATATGTCCATCTATAATCTGAATCATGGATTTTCAGTCTTTGAAGCCATACTGTTAGCCACTAGTATCTAAGATAATATTTGTTACAAATATTAAATATATTTCTATACTATTGTCTGGTCATGAGAACCTAAAATGCTGGTATTTGTAGTACTATGTATAGATCTACGTATAAGGCTTAATGCTTTTTAGAGTTAACACTTCACATTTGTTTGATTCCATGGAAAACTGGCAGGGTGGTAATAGAACTAAATAGGACTAGAACCAGGACAACTTACAATGTGGTTTGAGAAAGAAATGGAAGTGCAGTGACTCATACTCAATTGGCTTTGCATCTTTCTCTGAATTTACTATTAAAATGTTATGTTGTCATATAGAAATACTTGTTAACTGAATGTGGAAACTATTTTTTTTTCTGTTTTGCATATGGTCAAATTTTCAATAAGATTAAAGAATCCAAGACTAGCATTTGGTCCAGAATTTGTGTACCAGAGTTAAATCCAGATCTGTCTTTCAGTTGTAATGCCTGTGCTGGAAGCACAGCATGCATAGTCACACATTTCAGCAACAAATAAGCATTTTTAGCTCTGACCAATAGTAAGTTTGCGGAGTGAATAGGTTTCAGTTTTTTGTATGGTCATGTTTCTGACCATAAGAATTCTGGTTTCTAGCTATCAAAGGCACTATAACCCTCACAAAATACTGTTTTCCATGAAAATTAGCAGTCACAAAGTGACCACACATGTTGCCATTGGTGTTACCGTTCTTTCATTATGCTTAGACCTTTTCTTCTTACAGGGATGAAACAAGTTACCTAAATGTGTATTTTTTTAAAAAATATGTAGTTGATCTAGTATGTGTTTATGTATAAACATTCTAGCTTTAGTTGAAGACTGGGGGTCTTTTTGCATCTTGATTTTAGTTTTTACTTCACTTTTTCATGTTTAACATAAAACAAAATAAACTTTTAATCTGAAATGTAATAGTGGAAATAGCCTGGCAGCTGACCAAACCACTCAACATCCATATTTAGTTGCACCAATGCAAGTTTGTAAGTAAAAAAACTTGAATAACATTGGTTGCTAATATTTTAAAAGTACTGATAATACACATCTTACAGTCCAAAATCCTTTGTACAGATGAATGTCAACTCAGTTTCCTTACATTTACTCTTCAGTACTACAAAGAAGAATTTTGTCATGGCTTTACAACTGCTTTGCTGCTTTATTGTAGAAGAAAAGCTGTGACATGCAGGAAGAGCAGTTCCATAACTGACTGTATAATGGACACCTATTTGACATTGTCTTACAGCACTAGTAAGACAGAGGAAGCACTAAAAATATATTACAGGACAGTGCAGCCTTGACCTGTTAAGAAATACAACTCCGACAACAATTATGTTAGTTTTAGGATCTAGGAAGTAATGTGCTGAGCAGAGAAGAGAAACAAACTAACCAGAAGTTTGAGCAATGAGAAAGGAAGGAAGAGAAAAGAGGAAAATCAAATTTTATTTCTTCTACAGAATCAGGGCCTTCTGTTAGTATCATTCTAGTTATGGTGGCTAAAGAAAAGCCAATTAAGTTGTGTAAATTTTACAAGACTTGAGATCCTCAGCACTAAATGCAAGAAACAGAATGAAATATTTACCAGATAAAACAAAACATTAATGAGTAACTAAGCTACTGAGAAGACTAAGAAATGCTTTAGAGTTAAAATTTCAGTAATTAGTTCTAGCACCTTGGATAGCTAAATGAGTATTTTCTTGTATAAATAAGTAAATTGTCATAACTGTAGAAGATTCTGTTTATGAGCTGCTGCTTTATTTAACTGAAAAAAAACCTTCTTCTGTTTTGTTCTTAGTTTAACTGAGCTTGTGCCTTTAAATTCATTTGTATCTTTGGAAAAGTTGGATATCAAAAATAACTGCTTGTCCGGTAAGAACAATCAAGAACTCTTAATTAAATTATAAACTTCTTTGACTTTGATTGTTCCCATTTATTTGAGACATTCATACAGAAAGCATATAAATATTTTCCAAACATGGATGTTGTAGATATTAATTATAACTGTACTTATAGTTAGCAGAATTGCATGTGGTATTTAATGATTTTGTTACATTTTACTTTCATGTAAGATTTTATGAGAAATAATATGGTTCTGAATTCAAATTTATATTTATTTTTCTTTCCTACTACAATACAGATCTTAAAGGTGTCATTACATGTTTAAGTGGCTGTCATAAATTAAGGGAGTTGTCACTCAGTGAAAATCCTCTTCTCCGAGAAAGGAACTGGAGGTAAGAAAATAAATTAATTCTCTAAATTAATCATCAAAATCAGACAAAACCTTGGTGTACACACATCTTGCTCATCAATCAGCCAAAACCTAGGTGTACATACATTTGTTAAATAGTAGCAATGAGGCAACTGTGAACACTACCACAAATTGGAAGGAATTATATGGAGAAAAAAAAAAAAAAGTAAAATTTGATTCTGTGATCTTTATTTTCTAAGAATTCCAGTTTGTAGTTTTGTTCAAACAAAAATCTTGATGTTTGACCTATCACTTGGAACCTTAATAAGAAGCAGTTTGTGCTAAAACTCGACGGTGGTGTCTCTGTGCTGTTTGACTGTTATCCTAAATGAGTATTTTTCTTAACGACAATTTGTTTAGGCAAATGCAGAAATTATAAAGATGATACAGGCATTCTTTGTGCTGCTTATTTGTAACTACTTCTCTGTGCATTGATCACAATATCTTATTTTTCAGCACATATTGTGGTTGTTCCTCTTTACTGACAAGTTTATCACCTTTGGTAACTTCAGCTTTCTGACTGAGGTTTTGTCTGACCTTTATTACCCTATTTTACATTTCTTTAAAACTTTTACACAAAGACGTGACTATCTGCTCAACCTTTTTCTCCTGCTCTTTCATCTGCACAGTTTAAAACCTTTATTTTTTCTCTGTTTCTGGTCTTACACTTTCTTATTTGCCCTTCTCAGAACCATCAGTTTCTGACAGTCTATCACATACCTTCTTAGAGTGTTTCTCTTTCTGCTTTGCTGCCTTTTTTCCTTTTTTCTTATTTACTCCTTTCCATCAGTACATGCATTCACTGCTTAACAGTTTTGCTGCTTTGACAGTTCACACTGCAGATAGCTAAAGAAAGGGTTGTTCCTATAACAAATGTATCAGGGAATCCATCTTTTAAGGAAAAAAATCTTAGAAGAAACAGTAGGAATGAATGGTTGATTTTTCCTTAATAATTAAAGTTTGGACTTTTTTCTTGTTCTGAGAATTCCTTATCTTTACACCAAAAATTAATAGTTCCTATGATTATGAAAGAGATGTAAAAATAATGCTTTTTTTTTTTTTGCCATCTAGTGATGTATAACACTGAAATAACAAACTGAAATAAAATTAAAGAACTGGTCCTAGAGACTATTATCTGTGTACATATAAAAACTGGATAGGGTAGAAAGTGAACTTGACATATGAAATGAGATGCAGTCACCAGGATCCCTGAAATTAGTAGTTGTGATAGGATTGAATTTGTAAGCCATATGAATAAAATTGTTTATGGATAGGGTGTGGTTTTATTCTTGTATTTTAGTAGAAGTCTCCTTTTTTTCTTGAGAATTCTGTGGTCTGAAACACCATTCATGGGCCAAAGTCATCAAGACTTAAGCTATCTGAGAGAATTGTTCAGCAAAAATACAGTAGTGCTGTTAATTTAATGTGAGGTATTCTTTCGTTTTCCTTAGAGTTAATGCTTTCTAGTCTACAGGCCTTCAAGAGCAGAATGACAAGTTGGAAAGGCAATTTTGGTTTTTTAGGTGATGTTCCAGAATACATGTGTTGAAATGGTAGACATGTGCAAAGAAACATTTTATTGATAACAATTTAAATCATTACCAATTCCTTCAGCTAAGGAAATGAAGTATTTACCTAGGAAAGTGTTAACGTAATAAAATGTCTGAGGAAATTAAATGAGACACAACAGTTGGACTTTGATTTTGGATGTAATTAAAACAGGTGACAGATTTTTATGTTAGAAAAAAATGATTATTTTTTTTAAGCTTGCCATTTTGAAACAGTTTTCAAGCCATATCTATCAAAAGTCCTCATTTCAGGGGGGTTTGACTGAAAGACTTTTAAAGGTCCCTTCCAACCCAAACTATTCTATGGTTCTTTGATTCTATGATGATTCTATGATATAAGGATGACCTTGACATTTACTTTGCTGTTCATTTCTGTAACAATCAAAAGAATTTTGAATAATGACCAAAATTGTTCCTTCTGTAATTTCAGGTCATTTAAAGGTTGGGCTTTACACTGCAATGTTACACAAGAATGTGTTTAGATAAATTGTGTTCACATTTGATGTATTAGATTGCTTAGTATAACAACAGCAAAATTAGGCTTATGTGTGTTTTGGAGTATGTGTTGTATCAAGAGAAAAACAAACAAAAACAAAACCACCCTTACATGTATATCTTCCATTAGGAGATTTTTGCACAAATTTCTGATTAGTATTCCAGTGGAAAAAACTATTTGAAAGTTTAGTTGCAAATGTTTGCGTAGTTTAAAGATAACTATACAAATATATTGTTGCTTGATTTGTTTTTTTTTAATTAACATTCTGTTTACACTCCCATGGTTCCTGCATGTAATTTTGTGAATAAAATTCAGTGACTGTGACGATATTTTAAATTCCCATTTGCATAGTTTTAATTCCCACTATTTTACAGAACTAACTGTTATTTTATTTGTAACCTGGAGGGGAAAAGCTTTCTGAATTCCAATTTAACTATAAGATCTGACACTTTAGATTGCTTGACCCAATAGAGCTTTTATGATTAGACAAGAGATTCATTTGTCTAAAGGATTTAAAGTATGGGATACTATAAAATATGGATTTGCTGAATAGAGCATTGACCATAACTTCAGGCAATATGTTCCAGTGAACTTTACATAACCCCTTGATACCAACAAAGGAATTAGTTGTAAAATTTCCCAATCAGTTTTGTACTTTCATGTCCAGCCAGCGATAACACCAACAGAAGTGAAGTAGTAAGAAATTTCTTTTTAAAAATTAAACCCTGGGATCAGTCTGAGCACTCCTAGGGGAATGTGTTTCAATGCTGTAGTGATTAATAGGGCCTCTTAAGTGACAGAATATTCACCAGGAAGTTTTCACTAAATGAAATATTGACTCAGCCCTTCACCAGGAGAAACCCAGCTGGAAAAACTAGAGTTGAGATCCCATAGCTCAAAGACACAATACCTCCAGCATCAATCAACTTTGATATGGCACTTTTGTAATGTATCACTATGCAACATCAGCTTTAGTAATTCCTCTCTATGTGTTCATGGACTGTCTATCTAAACCCATCAGTTTATTCCAAATGTATTATCAGGCAGTATTATCCTTACGGTAACGAGGAGTAAAGAAGAAAAGTTTTATATTTACAAAAAAACCTAATATTCTATTCTATTGAGCCACATTTTGGAATATTCTGACTCACCAATAGAAACTTTCCCTGATTTTAAACTTAGTGTATATAGTCTGAGCTGAGTAATAGTTCTTCACCTTCACGTGGAATACTTGGGAAGTTATAAACTTTTGAAAATGGTATTATCTTTTTCAACAGTAAAAGAATTTCCAGCCTCCAGTATTTTCACGTGTGTTACTTAAAACTAACTTAGTGGAAATATTGAGCGTTGATGTATTGATTTAAATAATTTTGCAGTCTTGAAACTTTTAAAAAGTTTGGTCTGGTGTAAGAAATATGTGAGCTGCAGTACTAGGTTATATTTCACAGTAACCTAAAAGAGAGAGCATTGATGATACTTTTTAAAATTAGTAGATAGTTTCTCATACATTTTTTTTCTTACATCAGTGGCCCTGACTGTCCGTTTCATGGCAAGTAAGTGTCATCTCTACTCTGGTCCGTTTCACTGATCCAAGTTCAGTATTTCAAAGATGGATTTTTCCTGTCAGTCATGCTGAATATCATATTGCTTTATGTTGTGTATACAAATGGTAAAGGCAGTAAGACTGACAGTGTTTAGAATTCTCTGCAGTTTTTAAATGTAAACCTCTCAATGTGTCTACAAAATGAGTGCTGTATCTTAATCCTATGACTTAGTTGGCTCTGTTGCCTACTAATCAAATACATTGCAGGTACCTATGCATAAGTGTGTCAAATTTTCCTGTTGTTGTTTAAGTTGATAAAATGCTAGCTCTAGTGATTCAGAATGTTGTCATTGACCTCCCTGGGGTCAATATTTCAGCGGTGGTCTTTGTACCAAAAAAAAAAATTAAGAAATCTTGCTAAGAAAATTATTTTTCATATCAGTTTTGTGGTTTATTAAGAATAAAGTTTTATTTAATAACATATTAAGTAAGAACAAATATATGTGTATACTTAGAGAACTATCATCATGTTCTGTCTTGTTACATGATTTTATCAATAAAATGGAACTCCCATTTTATTAGTATTTGAATTTATTAGAATTCTAATTTTATTAGAATTTGAATTCCATTTAGCATTTGAATTTTCTCACAAAACTAATGATGACTTTTTCTTTTCTAAGGCCTTCACTGTGTAAGGTTCTTCCCAGTTTACAGTTTCTTGATGGTGAAAGCTTAAACTGTCATATTTTACCCACAACGGAAAGAATGAAAGAATTACAGTCAGGAACTTTTCTGGAACTTTGTCAACTTCAAATTGAAGAAAACATACTTCTGAAAAAAGAGGCCACTGAACTGGGGTACGTATTTGTGTGAATGTAAGTTGCTTTCAGATGTATGTTTTCATTTATTGTTAGTGTAGTTCTTGTTGTCTTTCTTAAGAATTTTACTTAGCTTTTTGCCTGAAAACATATTATGTTAAGAAAGAGCTTAGAATAATTGATTTCAGTGCAGAGAGTATTTCAGACAGATAGTAAAATATGTTGGCCTTGACTTTTGTTTGTTTCAGTTTGAGAAAATAGAAGGTTCAAAACCTTGAGTTAGTAGTAGTTGAATGAAATCATACACACAACATAGTACAGTGGTATGCAGGAATAGTAGCCTAAATCCTGAAAGTGGTATAATCATATTAGCATTAATTCCAGCTTCAGCTTAATCAAACCTAGTTTGGCTATTGGTGTAATATAATCTAATTTTTCCTGCATTTGCTTTTCACATCAGTATTATTCACATTCTAAGTTATTGCAAAAGCTTTGAGCTTTTTTCTCTAAAAGTAGTGGATCAGATGGCTCTGTTTACAGGTCTTTGATTCTTACTTACTTACTACCTTTATTACCGTGATTAGTTATTCAATGACTTCAGCTTAGATGCTCCCAGTGGTAATTTAACATTTATACCTGCTGTCATTGCAATATGTAAACATTTCAAGCTTCTCATGTTTTCACGCTTGGAAATATCACACGTTTTCTTCTTTCTTAGTTCCGTTTACTTTCCTAGCAGGTTCACAATATCCTTATAGTCCTTTTAATACCTAAGTTGTCTGCTGATATTTAGAGAGATAATTTCCTTGATCCTGCCAGGTACTGAACATTATCCCAGAGCAGGTGAAGCATGTGACGTTTGACAATAGTTTAGTCTGACCTCCTTGTATGCCTTGTGGATTCCAGAAAAGTACCCACATTTTTCTCAGAATCTAGCTGGTTTGCATTTACATTTAAGCTTATATATTTATGGTGTCTTCTTACTACCTAATGGGATATTACATTGATGTATTATTGGACGTTACTAAGCTACAATAAAACCTTCATAGCTCACAAAACAGATTTATTTGAAAAGAGGTTTGTATTGAGAACCAGACTGAAAGTAGTTTGGGAAAAAGTATATAGTACTGTTTTCTATGACAGATGTAATGTCTAGGTGGCTTCTGGAACTTGTATGTTTCAACATTAAACACCCAAAATATGTCTTCTCTACTTCTGTGATTTTTGGCTTCTGGTTTGCAGGTGGGAAGCTGATACTTCCTAATCTATTTACCATTTGAAATAGTGTTCCTTCCTTCCTTTTTCTTAAAAGGAAAATAGGAGAGGCAAAAAAAGGCACTCTTCCTCCATTATGGTAGAGAAAATTTTCTTATGTCTGAGATTTAGGAGCTGTTTTATTAGTATCCTTTGCAGAAAAAAAATGCCAATCTGTAATTAGGACATGACTTGTGAGAAAGCTGTAGTAGCATCTAAGGATGCAACTTTCATATATGTTTCTGCAAGACTTTAAAAAGTGGAAGGGAAAGTTTATATTCACAAAATGTTGTTGTTTAACTGCAGTCTGCATGAATCTGTTAACTATCAATAGTTACTGGCTCATGCTACTTTCTGGAGACTGAGAATTGTCTTTCTACTATCTTTGTCAAAGACCTGGAGCAGGAGATGGAGTGCTCACTTACCATTCTTGCAAATGACAGCAATTTTCAGGAAATGTTTTATATGCCTGAGGGAAGGGCTGCCATTCAGAAGGACCCAGACAAGCTGGGGAAACAAGCCCACAGGAGCCTTGTAAATTCAACAAGGACAAGTGCAAAGTTCTTTACCTGGAAAGGAGTGACCCCTTGCAACAATATGGACTGGGACTGGCTGGCTGAGAAACATCTCTGCTGAAAAAGAGCTTTGGTTATGGGTAGATGAGAAGCTGAATGTGAGCCAGCAGTGTGCCCTGGAACCAAAGAACATCCTGGGCTGTATCTACAGGCACATAGCCAGTAGGTTGAGGGAAGCTGTTATTTCCCTCTCTTCAGCCCTTATTAGCTGTCATCTAGAATACTGTGCTCAGTATTTTTGGTCATCAATACATGAAAGATGTTGATAAACTGGAACAAGTTTGGTGCTTGGCCCCTGAGATGGTCAAGGGGTTCAAGCACATGCTCAAGAAGGCAGAACCAGGCTATTTCCTGTGGTGCATGGCAGGAGGATGAGCGACAAGGACCTAAGATGAAACATGGGAGGTTCAGACTGGTGTGGTGTGTTGATCCTAGCCAGTAACTAAGCCCCCACCAGCTTCTTGCTCTTTCCTTCTTCTGCCAGTGGGATGAAGGAGAGAATGAGAAGACCAGAAGAAAGAAAAACCCATGTATCAAGACAAAGACATTTTAATAAGTGAAGGAAAGGTCGGGAGAACAAAAAGAAAACAACTGAGCAATGCAAAGCAATCACTCACCGCCTCCCACCAGCACGCTGATGCCCAATCATTCTCTGAGCAATGGCTACCTTGGAAAGACTCCCCCTCAAGTTTTATTTCTGAGCATGATGTTATAGGGCATGGAATATAATTTTGGTCAATTCTGGTTAGCTGTCCTGGCTGTGTTCCCTCCCAGTCTCCTGCCTACCCACAGCCTACTTGCTGAGTGGGACAAAAAAAGCCTTGACACTGTCCAAGCACTGTTCAGCAACAGCTAAAACATTAGTATTTTGTCAATACAGTTTCAGTCAGAAATCTAAACCATAGCACCATATGGGCAGCTATAAAGATAATTAACTTCATCCCAGCCAGTTGCAGTACACTGCACATAAGAAAAACTTTTTCCATGTCAGGACAGTGTTGCATTGCAACAGGTTGCCCAGAGAGGTTGTGCAGTCCCTGTTCTTGGAGTTTCTCAAGACCTGATTGGATAAAGCCCTGAACAACCTGGTCTGATCTCAGAGTTAACTGAGCTTTGAAGCGGAAGGTTGGACTAGAGACCTCCTGACATTCCTTCAATTGAGAATTTTTCTATGATTCTGTGTAAGCTTTGTTTGAAAGATCTTGCAGATGTTTCAGAAGAACAATAGTGGGAAGAAGAAATTATGTAAATGTCTCTTCTTTCCTGAGTGTATGGGTTGGAGCAGGGGGAGAGGAAGGGGCGTGGTTTTTTTTAGGTTTTGAGAATTCATTCACAGTCTTTTAAATTGGTAACTTTGACATGGTTGAAACATCTTGTGTCAAATTTAATCTTAAAATGAATTTCTTATGTTAAAGCCCACTATGTTTTGTTTTGACTAAAAGTACAATTTATGGATAATTTGAAAACCATTGAGAGCTGCAATTCATAAGAGGAACTCTAAACAACTTGTTTGTATATAAGCCTTAACAGCACAGCTATTATATGTATGTACTGCAATACTTTGACTGAATTAATGTGATGTTGCTAAAGAACAGGCCAACAATAGAGCAAACTTCCGTCTGCTTCACATCTTGATAAATTGTGAGCCCCTGTAGGTGCGACCTCAAGTATGTAAACTGCCAAAAGTAATCACTGCTTGCTTCCCTAATCCATGTTTCATACACCACTCCTGCCCAATTAAATTGTCTGTGTTGTTTTTGCCTGAAAATTCACTGTTCTTGCCATGCTTAAGAATTAAACATCTTTTAAAATTACATTTCACAATTCTAATAAATGCTATATGTCACAATCTTTACATGTCTTGTAGTGAGTAATCATATAAAAAATTAATACAACATCGTGGCTGCAGTAATTTGCTTTCAGTCATCAAATATGCACATGTCTGGCTAGTGAAACTTGAACTTTATAAATACTGTATATATAATACAGTGAATATGACAGGAATTGCATGAATGGTTTTGCAGGAGAGTGTATATAAACAGTGACCTCTTCAATGTAACCTGCAGTTGAACATCAGTAATGATGCTTATAGAAGTTTCCCCTGAGACAAATTAGATTTTACCTCACTATTACAAACAAAAGCTCTGTTGAAATTGAAATGTACTATTTGCATATTCCATGTATCAGAATTCACACATTCTTCTTACAAACAGTTAACCTTTCCATTAATTATCTTATGAAAATCGCGGTAGAGCTGCAAAGTGAAAAACATGACATTAAGCAAAATTTTAATTAGCATACAGTTAGGAGTAGAATAGTATTTATGATTTAGCTGCAGTGGCCAGGAGAAAACTGCTGTTGCTGGTTTGAACTGGCTTGTTTGTCTGCTGTCCTTTTTGCCTCCAAGAGGTCTCATTCTGACAAAATGAAACTCTTTGAATAACCTGGCATTCACTGCAGATGCAATTGGACTAGGAAATTCTATACAAAATTTGTCAGCTCTGTAAGCAAGCTTCTGCTGCCACCTTCAACTTTCTCAGCAGCAACATTTTGGTTGATTGAAACTCCACTGAAAGGTCTTTAAGAATGAGTAATTTGTCCTTTTCCATATCTCTTGTGTCAGCCTGTGCACAGGTCCTTAGATGTTGTAGGTGTCAGTGGGGTTTGCTCCTCCCCACCTCTACTCTTCCCTCCCTAAACACTGCATGTGGAACTGTGCAGGGTTTGGTCTAAATTTACCAAGACAACAGTGATGGATATTCTTGGTGGATTGATGTTAGGACTGAAGTTGTAGCGGTAATTAATAAATGCCTGACTGGAATTTCCAAATAGATTATAATCTTATTCTAATGTTTTTATCTTTCCTCAAAGTCCCTGGAAAATCCTAGCACAAGTTGAGAGATGTATTTTTGGTGAGAAAGCTACAGGTCACTTTCTGCTCATAGCATTTGTTTGTGAAAGTAATATCTTGGTCTTTAGGTATTAGCAGGGCCACTATTCTGGTACATTTGTACCTTGCTATGTCTTCCTCTGCTGGTTTATTATCCCTTTCTCTGACTGCAAAAGCAGTGCATCCTTTGTGGCTATGCTAAAATTTACATAAAACAAAGCTGTGGGTAGCTACTGAACATGTGAGAATGTCCTGGTCAAAGATGGAAGCCATAAAAATTTTGCTGTAATGAGACCACCATATTCATCTACATTACATTAGATAATAAGGAGTCAGGCATTACGGATAGTGGTGCTTCCATCAGGATAATCCCATTTCTTGTTTTGTCTAGATGCCAATTTGTGCTTAAAACCGTGATTGTGTCTCAACCAAGAAGAAATTCCAGAATAGTTACTGTGACCAGACCCCTTGACCTATAATGCCAAAAGAGGTCTGAAAGGCAAACAACCAATTTACATTAACTGAAAATGAAATATTGTGATATCAAAAGTCTTTATACTGTTGTATTTCTTACTTTGTCTTGTCTCTTTCCTAGTATGTGTTTTTTTCTATTAAATAAGTAAATCAATCCTGCATATTTTCCATTATAGCAGCTTCCTTCCTGTAGTTTGAATAAAGGGTCTTCAGGTGCAAGTCTCTGGCATCAAAATGCAGTCCTTTTGAGACACTGAGAAAGCTGCAGTGCATTGATAGGATAGCTCTACCCTAAGACTGTTGAATAGTTATTTTTTTCTCCAGAGCTGCCTGAAATCCCTGTTTACCTAAGTGTACCACCAAGCTAAGCTGACTGCCACCTAGCACTCAGGCCCCATCTTAATATTTGTTGTCTGTGCTTGAGAGCTTCACTTTCACAGGAGAAACACAAATGCAGTTACCAAGACACTTAATTGCTCATAATTCTCTTCAGATGTCACTACAGCTTAAAACTTAAGCTGATCTGACTGCCTAAAAGGAAAGCCACTGATACACAGAGGGCAGCCTAAGAATCCTACAAAACAGGAGTACAGTTGTGGATTGCCAGGGAATGTGTCAGCTGGGAAGATAGGGTGGATGCCCACAGCGACCAGACTGTATTTTGAAACCACTGCTTGGAAAAGCTGCTTAAAAGCATCTTCTGTGAAAAAAAAGTAGCACATGGACCCTTGTGACCATACAGTTACTGCCTGCCTGAATACTCAATTGACTTCAACCTCACCTCCCATTTCTGCTTGCCACATTCATAGGCACTGGAAGGGTGAAACAGCCACTTGAGATGCCCCTGCACCTGTAAAAGGAGAGGATGCACAAGTATCCTATTCTGTTCACTGTTATGGTGTTTTGGTTTTCTTTATTTGTGGGGGGTTTTTTGAGAATGAATGAGTATACTCAGGATATGCTTTTCATACAGAAGTTTATTTTGCTCAATATATAAAACATTCTGGGTTTTTCCACAATATTTTAATCCTCAAACAAACAAACAAAACTAAAACAAACCAGATTTTTTTTTCTTTTTTTGCCTTCTCACCATAGTGTGTTTTGTAGAACTTTGGTAATGGTCTTGTACCAAATTTGTCTCTTAAATACTTTAACTACTTTAAAGTATTTAGTTAAGTATTTAACTAATGCTTTAACTATTTCATGGTGAAGAAATTACTATTCTTACTGTGTAGTAGGAGACACCTAGAACTTACTAGATGTAAGCAAATATATGCATAGGTTTATTTTTAGGAATTGTCACTTCTGTGGAATTAACAGGAGTAGGAGTAACGTTGAGTAGTGGACAATCAAATGTACAGCTAATGCACAGTGAGTTGTGTAATTAGTCTACATGGATTTGGCTTTCAATTTTGCTATTCATACTTTGTCCAATAGCACTGAAGTTGCAGAAGGAAGAGTTGGAATCTTTTTTACTTTTGTAAGATCTGATTCTGTATGTTCGTAAAAATCTAAAAAGTTCTTAGTTGAACTTCACTAGTGGAAATAATTACATAGGCAAAGAGCCTTTTCGCACCTCATAAAAGCTTCACCTTTCAAGAATGATGAATAGGAAGGAAAATTCCCTTATACAGACTATAATCTTAAGACCTGATTTTTCCAGTCTCCCAAGAGAATTGGTCTTATTTGTACTTTTTCTCTTGGATTGCTGACCTAGAATTTACTTTGTTCTCCTTTGAAAATAGCACCAGATTACTGATCTCTGCATCTATCTGTGCTATCAAAGGAAAATGTTTTCATGATTCTGAAAGTACCTGCTACCTAATACAATGGACAAACACTGTCTAAATACAGACAGCCTTCTGAATCTGTAGCAATTAGTTCATATTTGCTCTTACTCCTCCTTGTAATTTAGACGGTGTAACACAAAGAACTAATGAGAGCCAGACTTCATAGATTCATGTTGCTTCAGTCTAGCACTGTCCCTTATATTGATAAAAATATCTATACTTAAAAGTTTCTGTTTTCCTAAATTCTCTCTAGACATTGTGGTTTGTTGGTTTGATTCTAAGTGTGGATTTTGTTGCTGTAGCTCTAATCTAAATTTTAAAATTACTGTTATTTTTATATTAGCTTTCATAGTTTCCAGACAAAATTGGATTGTTAAAGCTGTTACAGGATTTGTACAAGATTGCCTCAAATCCTCTAAAATTTTCAGCTTCGTATGCCTCTAACCACACAGAAAATTAATAGTGAAATGCATGCCCTGGTGCCTGTTTCAAACAGACTGAAACCTTTTTTATAAAAGTCATAGTAAAATGATCAATCTAGTATACAGATTTTAAATACTGCCAAAAAAAGAAAAATGCAATTCAGATTTATAAATATTGAAACTGGTTTTCAGTCAGAGTAATTACTATTCACTGTAAGAATATGGAAACATGTAGGGATACTTGAAAATACAGGGTAGTTTAGAAAAATAATAGAGGGAATATATTTTTGTAAAAAGTATTCATGCAGTCTGAAATACATTTTTAAAAAATTTTGTCTTTTTTTCAGGATTGCCTCTTCCATTGATTCTGCACAGGGACAATGCTGGTATTTTAATCAGTTGATGAAACTTAGTATTAAACATCGATATGCACATGAGTATGGTGAACTAAACATTACTGACAGAGACGGACCAGAAGCTCTGCAAAATCATTTAAAGCAAACATCCACTGGCTGCCTACAGGAAAATAACCTCTTTATCATGGGTGTGACAGAAAATAAACAGGTCTTGTTGGATCCTTCTGAAAGATGGATTACTACTGGCCATATTCAGGCCACATTAATTAACTCCTCCATACCTGTGCACCAAAAGGAAAATAAAGAAGATCAGAGAGTGAAGCAGAAGAGCACTGAATCTTGTATTAATTACAGCGAGGAGAGCAAAGGCAACAATAACTTGTCAGCCCCACTCACATTGCAACCGTCAGGGGTAGTAGCAAGTAATAAAGGAAGAGATCTTCAGCATTTTGAGAATGATACAGAAAGGTAAGACAGATGTCAGATTGCTTTCAAATAGATTATACGAATGGGCAATAAAGTGAGGATTTCTTGTTTAAAACAGAGCCACATAACTTGTAAGACTTTCAAGTTTATTAGACAATAAAGACTTATTTTAAGGTGATGCACACTGGACTTCCATATTAACAACAATCCTTTCTTGTCTTACGTCAGTTTATATATTAAAATATAGATATATATGTACCTAAAATAGTTTACAAATGCTGTATAGTAAGATAATTTGAAAGCTTTCTCATTGTCTCAACTTCTTCCTTCTTTTTTTTGCAATAAATTTATTACACCAATGACACATACAATATTAGGGATGAAAATGCTGGACAGTTTTGGGGAATTTTGGGGCAGTTTAAACTACAAACTAGTGTAAGGCTTTTTTTGCTAGACTATTCAGTAGACATTCATCTGTGTAGAGATTACAGTCAGTATCATTTAGAAGGCAAGAGGTAAAAGTTGCTTAAATCTACCGTCCTACTCCCTTGACCTTAGGCCAGTCTCCTCTGTTGTGATGACTGAAGGACTAACAGCCTGCCCTGCCCTTCATACTCCTCCAACATGCCTCAACCTGCTTCTTAAAAGCAGAGGCAGGAGTGAGAGGCCAGTTCAACTCGTTCTGTGCCCCCAAATATTCTTCCACTTGAAACAGACTGGTTTATTACCTCTTTGGAATGCATTTGCTGCTGGTTAGTATGGTTCTGGATGTACAGTCAGGGAAAACAGAAACTGAAATGTTTGCCCTAAAGGTACAAAAAATCAGTTACAATTTTATAAGAATTCAGTTTCAAAAATACATCTCTTGAGAACACTATGAAGAGCAAGCATAGAAGGTGTGCTTCATGCTGTTTAGACTTTCGGTAAATGGGCAGTCATGCTTAGTAGATACTTATGACACTAATAGTTTGTCATAAAATTTATTGTTCAGGAAGACCATAGAATTCATCATTGCCTTTCAGGAAGCTAAAAGTAAGAGTACAGTAGTCTATTATGGAAGATGAATGCTTCAGAAAAATCTTTTTGGCATAGTTCATTTAGAGTATTTAATCAATGTTTTAAAAGCATTCTGTAAGCCTGTTGTTGGACAGTTGTCTTCAATGCAGAATACAAACCATTAGAGGGGGGTTTGTTTGTTTTTCAGCTCAGCCACTGCTTTTTATAGATGCCAAGCTTATAGATAAACGATGTTTTGGGGTTGGTAGACTTCATAAACATTTTTTAGGAAAAAAAAATTCTGGCTTAACCTCTGAAGTGTGAGTTTTTTACTGAAAAGTACTCCTCTCTTTAAAGAGATGCACTGCTCAAGGAAAGAAAATATGTAAAGTTTGGGTGAAATTTAGATTTCTTCGTAAAGCCACTGTCCAATTGAAATGAGAATTTTGTGGAGAAAAAGATTCCAAGATAGTAAAGTCATAATACAGAGGTGCTATTAAACTTTTTCTCCATCAATATAAATTATTTGAACATATATTTAGAAAGCTCAATCGGTGAACAAATCTAAGTCTAGAATCAGTGCATGTTAAACAATAAACAAATCAGAAAATGATGTACACATAAAACCAGTGGTCATTACTGTTAAACTGAAGCATAAAATTAGTTTTTCCTGTCTGCTCCGTTGGAGATATTTGTCTCATGCAGTTTTCAGCATTTAACACTTTTCAGTGTTTTGGTTTTTTTTTTTTTTTTGTATATGGACAGTGGAGATAAGTGGACCCCTCCAATAATTTATTTAGTCATTATTAAACCACTTCTGCTCCCAGTCTTTCCTTTCAGGAGACTCTTCCTCTCCAGTGAATATAGTGGGAACAGAGCCCAGCGGAGATTAGTTCTGTAAGATGATTGGATTTCCAAAGATATGGGATGTGAATATCCTCCAGTGTTTCTGAACATATATGTCACATCTGGATTGTAATTTCTTTACAGTTTAATGTCAGAACCATCCATTTGTCTCAATGTATACTGCTATGTTTTATGGTTATAGTTTGGCAGCTACGATAATCCAGTTGTACTGCTGAGGCTATGTCATTCATAAAGGTATTTATTTCTCTCTGAGGCTACATACGGCAGCATCAGTGATCCAGTCCCTTTGGCGAAAGTACCATGCCAGGAGGAAAACTGACTGCAGCAAAACAGAGAATCATCAGTTTATAGAAGCTTTGAGACAGAAGCATGAAGCTGTCACACTAATCCAGGTTGGTTTATGGTATTCTCTTATTTTTCAAATTAAATAAGAAAAAACACTTACTAGTTTTGTATACTTGTCATCTTCTCTCTGTTTTTGTTTATGACTTTATTAATAGTTTCATAATTAAACAGTTTTTGTTTTATTTAATCAGCATAAGCTTGATGTTTCTGGAAGAGAGCCTTCTTTACAAAAAGTTTTATAGAAGCATAAAAATATTTTCCCTTTTCTCCAGGTATTTCCCTGAATTAGTTTTGCTTGATTTAATTCTGCATAACTGTTACATCATGTCTGATATCTACACAACTATCTTCTCTTCCCATCTCTTCTATCCTACCTATCCATCTCTTTCCTTCTCTCCTCATCTCCTAAAACCAGGATTGCTTCATCCATACTACCATTGGGAACTGAGCATGGCCTAGGCTGTCCTGTGGTAGATACCGAGCTAACAGTTAAACAGAATGGATTACTGTGTGCAAGAATTGAAGTCCATACCTTGGCTCTGTTTCATTTGCTAACCAGATATAGTATTTACCTGCCAAATTGTGGGGGTTCATGGTTTTTATAAAAAAAATGCTTTAAAAAATGAAATATGAAGCATTATATAATGAAATATCTCTGCCATTTAATCATTCAGTAATATCACGATATTTTATCTGGATGGTTGTGAAGCTCTGTAGTAAAATAACAACAATGAAATTATAAGAAAGCAGTTCTAATACATTTAATCATTTTTATAATCATCACGAATTGTGTGTGTAAAACCAGTAACATTTTCAATACTTTATGCAGTTAGACAATCATTTCCTAAAAATTAATAAGCTAAACATTAACCCAGAATATGAGATTTCCCCTTCTTATTTTAATGCCTTCATTGCAAAGCCATAAAATGGGGACAACACTACATCTTTCAGGACAGTGGAAATTTTTTGCATGGTGTTTTAAATGCTTAGGGCATTTAAAGTCACACATGACTTGAGGGAAAATTGCTGTCCTGAGTTTAGTTTTCTTAATTACATCTATGTAATTTTAATCTCTGAAGTGTTTTCCTGGATCTGATTCTACGGCTTGGCATGTGTTCCTAACACTTTTCCTCTCTTTCCAGCACTTAATTCCTAATGTGCTCCTTTTTCTTAGAGATGGTTATGCCTACTGGTAACATTTTTTTAAAATAAAGATCTTAGACAGTTAAGAAAGAGTAAATGACCTAGGTCAACAGCATGAGATGTCTCCTAGAATTGCTACTTGTAAACTATAAGACATTCAGTACAGTGTATTTTTATTCTCTGTAATTTGAAAGTTGACACTCAGCTTTTTCTTATGTAGCCTTTCCTTTCAGTTTATAATAGTCCCTGAAGGAATTGTCAAGTAATTAATTAGTTGACCCAGGTTTGTAGTTGAGGGAGTTGCAAGATTCCTTTCTGCTTACTTGTGGAGAGCCTCTTGAGTACTCTAAGCTTTAGACATATGCTGGCATTTAATTTGTCTTGTAGTTTTAAATGTCACATAAAGTTCAAAAAACAGATCATTGAGCTATTAAACCAAGGCCCAAGATGTTTTATCTTCCTAATGGGATAACATAGAGAATCTGGATTTGGGTTTGATCTATGGCTTTGTATAACATGCTTTAAATTTTTCGTTTAGGCATTTTGGAAGGGTTTTCTTTTGCGAAAGAAACTGTCCGGTGATCTTGCAGCTGTTAAAAGTGATGAAGTGGAGGATGACTATGAAGAAATAAATGTGGATGATTTCACATTTTCTGAAGTAAGCACAGTCATTAGCATAAAAACTTCATGTAAAAAATAAATGTATTCTTCTTAAGCAATTGTGTAGGTGTTGGAAATAAAGTTAATTTAAAGAACTGCTAGGACTAGATTTGATGGAAATAAAATTAATTTGAAGGACTGCTAGGGCTAGAATTGAAATGTTGGATGTCAAGAAAAAAATAAGTATTTGGTATATATAGCTCATTTAAATGTATTTGTCGTGGATTAAATGCTCCCTGCTCTTTGAGATGCTCTAGTAGTTACTGTGCTACTAATGTCACACCCACCATAGAACTCCATATATTTCTACAGTTAAAGGACAATCAAATTAGAGTAAGGAAACAGCTATTTTTGTTCTAAACTGTTTAGCTTTTTAGTATTTTAGTAACAGATTATGCTGTCAACAATATTTGAGTGTATATTTTGTTAATTTTCATTATAGAATGAGAACAATAATGTAGCTGAAAATATAGCTGAGATTCAGTGTTGCAGTATTTCAGTAGAAATAACACAACCCCAAAACCAGAGGTGAAGCAGGCTCATTAGCACTTCTTTTATCTTATAGGTAAAGTGCTAAAAAGATCACAGGTCTTAATATAGTAGTAAATTTTGAAGAGAAGTACAGTTAAATGAGAAAGAAACCACACTTAGGTCTGTGATGTACAATTACTAGTAATTTTTACGAGTTATATAGAGTTAATAATGTTTCAAAGGACTGAAATTGGCTCAGAAGTTTCCATTCTAAGAAGTAAAAGCAGGCTGGAAAGGAATTTGAGGAATAACATTGCATTCAAAATTGAATTTAGCAATAATTAAGTAAAAATAAAAATGTCTACAGGATCAATATTGTCCTTCAGTAAGCAAGGAGAAGAACCTTTAAATTAATTTGATCTTTTATAACCTCAAAAGACAGTCTACATAGGATGTTCTAAACTCGGTGTGCATTTTAAGGCAGCTGTTGATGACTTACCTATGTATTTGTCTGGAACACTGCATTCTCTAACTGTTCACATTTTTTGGCTTCTTTTTATTTTTTTTATTGGTTTCAGGTAAAGTAAAGAAAACTGATAGCAATGTGGCCATTTGAGACACAAGAGGTTATGACTAAGGTTTTTTTCATGAACCTTTGTCTCTGAATGTGCTTATTCAGCTGCTACATCTTTGCGAGAGCCATTTGTCAATATTCCACTGTAATTTTGCAAAGGAGATTGATGTGATAGCCCTCCTTCTGGCAGGTTTAGGTCCTATTTATGATCACTAGTTTGTATAGCTCATATAGAGTTATGAAAACAAGTATGTTGTTAATTGGACCAGTGCAGTTTACAGTTGATCAGTCTTCAGTCTTCTGAGTATCAGCCTTCTTTTGCCATCCTCTCCCCTTATAAAATAGTTGGGCTTTGTATGAAATTATTACCAATGACCTTATGATTTGGATAATTTTTTTTTCTTATCCCTTTCAACAACCGTTTTAAGGTACATTTTCAGACTTACTCTCATATTGTAAGAGCATGCAAAATGTTTGAGGCAGAAGTCCCAGGAATCATTTGGTAGACAGGAAATGTGTGTGTCTAAACACAGAGATCTGGCTTAAATTTTAGGATTTATTTTCCTTTTAATTTGAAATATATATACAAAAAAGAACAGTCTCATTAGCTGATGTTCTCTGATCCCTGGCTTCTTTCTAAAATAATAAAAAGCAGAAAGTTGAAAGATTTTTTTTCTTCACATAGGAAGGAAGTATCTGTTCATATACTAAAGAAGGAAAATATCCTGTTTTGAATTATTCAGCCAGTAGGCCAGAGTCTTATACACTGTAATTCAACTGAACCATTCTTGTTTCACTTTGTTCGGCCCAAATAATCCTGTGATTTTTGATATTTATTTTTTAATTCCTAACTGAAAACTACATGGAAAGTTTTGTTCCATCTGTCTGTCAGCAAGGCAATTACATTTGGGCAGGTGCTCCTGAGGCCAGGGAGAAAAGGAAGGAGTGGGAAAGGCAGGGGAAAAACTCCAGCTTGTTTCAAAGAGGCTTGCACTGTATCAGCCTCTGTTTTTTTTTAATTGTTATTGAGTCTGTTAGGAAAGAAATAAAACATAGTTTTAGGGAGAAATTCTCAGAGAAAGTGTTTAGGTTCAGACAATGACAGGAGATCCATGAGCTGACATTTTAATTGGAACAGCAAGCTCAAAGGCTGAACTGGGGACTGACAAGTTACTCAAGTCCTTAGCTTCTTGTGATGAAAAATATAAGAATATCTGTTTTCTACAGAGCAATGTATGTGATAAATTTACAACATATATCCCTATGAAAGATACGCTTTGTTCAGTGAGTGAGCATTTCAGTGTTCAAGATTGATGGCTGTAACTAGAATGCAATATTTGACATGTTTTTCTTCTTTTTTTCTTTTTTTTTTTTCCAAGCACATGCCTTGTTTATGCTTAAGAGTTTGATTGTGGGAAATGTGTGGCTTAACTATAATGGGGAACTTGAGTGTGAGATAGTGGTATATGATGCAACCCTATCATGTTATTAACTGTATGTGACACTCTCCTGGGTTCAGCTAGGACAGAGTTAACTTTCTTCTTAGTAGCTAGTGAGAGGCTGTGTTATGAATTTGTGCCAAGAAGAAAGCTGAGAACAGTGATGTTTATAGTTGGTGACATCCAAGGTCTTTTCAGCTTCTCTGCTGTGCCAGTGTCTGCAGGTACAGGAGAAGCTGGGAGAGAGCACAGCCCCAATTACTAGCTTAGGGTTCAATCATAGGTTTAGGACTGAGACCCAAATTAGCCAATAGTCTATTCTGTCTCATGCACGTCATGCCCAGTATACAGGCGAGGGCCCACCAGAAGCTTGTCCCTTTTTGCTCCGGGTCAGCTCTCTTGCTCTGGGTTATTTCGCTCCGTGTGGTTCCTCTCGCTGGGTTTTCTCCCTCCCTTGGTCAGCTCTTGGTCTGGGATGCTCAGTCTCTTATCTCCATTC